TTGTGTTTTGCTAATGGATTCCTCTATTCAGCAGCATATAGAGTGTGTGGGGGGAAAATGTCATAGATGTGTCACATGGTAAATTTTAAAATTATACCGACCTGAACTAGAGCATTGCTATCAGCAGCACTATAAAAAGAAAGATAATTTAAATCAATTAAATTCCACCACTTTCATATTGTTATAGAATGCTCAGATTCAAAATTAGTGTGAATTCAATAAAGAGACTGTCTCTTTCTGAAGTAATTTCAAAGAAGTATTTGGATATGTCTGATTTTATTTTAAAGCTGAATGTATAAGAAAATGTGTGTGTTTGTGCATAGAAAGACACAGAACAAGATCTTCAACAAGCTTAACTCCGCATTGCTCTGTGGACTTTGAAAAAGCTATGCTGATTTCCAGCAGCTGACATTTAGCTCATTAACCCTCAATTAGTGGAATTCAGGATGTGTTTCTCCTCTCATTAGCTTCATTGTGAAGCAGGTGTAATTCTTCTGAAGTGAACACTCACAGGTGTCAAGTAGCAGAGGGGTAGCCATGTTAGTCTGGATCCACAAAAGTGACAAGGTGTGTGAGTGAGAGTGAGCGTGAGCGTGAGCGTGAAGCGAAGCGAAAAGTGACAAGGTGTGTGAGTGAGAGTGAGGCGAAGCGAAGCAAAGCAAAGCAAAGCGAAGCATGGCATGCCTATGTGGCTGATATTGCAGAGATTGGGGTCCAAAGGCATTTTGCTAGCTATGCTGCTACTACATCCAGGAACCAACAGCTGCAGGGGTAGGGGGACACCCATCACTGTGATTTGCTCAGACTGTAGATAACACAGGGCGTTAGATGCCTGGTTCCTAGAATTGCTAAAGGGAATGAGCTAGCAGGCAGTATGTAGGATGCAGTTGGAGTTCTACTCCCACAGTGGCTCACCGCATTGAAAAGACAGACTGCTGCATTCTGGACTGGCTGAAATGGCTGAGTTGTTTTCAGTAATCACACAAAGTAGAGAAAAATTTATATCCAGGCTAAATTATTGCAAAGGCACAGTGGGTACTGAGGAAAAGTGGCTTTCAGGGCAATGTTGTGTACGTGGATAGGCGGACACAGATATAACAGGCACTCAAAAGGGGGAAAAAAATCAGTCTAGTCAAGTGATCTATTCCCGGGAAGCAAAGAAGAGAGAGAATAAGTCAGATGAACTTAATTCCACTAACTTCAATGGAGTTTTGCTGATTAACATCAGGTCAGTATTTATCCTTGTACAGCCTCTTGGTAGCTATTTGGAAGACACCCAGTTACTACAATGTTAAGAGCCCCAGAAACAGCTAGACAGGTACTCTCATGGCTTCCTTGTGCCCCTGTCTGCATCTACCTATTGTCTTATGAGATGACAAACTCCTAGGGCAGGGATTGTCTCTTTGCTTTGGCTTTGTACAGCATCTTGTACGATGGTGCCTTGCCTGAGGGCTGGGGCTAGTCAATGCTGCGAATAATACCAATAATAATATGAGAGCTCAGTTGATAGCTGCTAACTGTTCTCTAGATTTTAGTTATTTTTCCAGACAGGTGGTGTGGGCAGGAATGAAGTGAGTGCTCCCATGACACTGTGAGGTTGCACAGGATCTACATGGGAAACAAGATTTTACCGGCTGTTATTTGTTTGCCAAGTCTTGGCCATCACCTTCTCCTTAACCAACAATGAACTAACAGGTGGGATGACTTGTCCCCACTCCCGCAGGGGCTGCTGTGGTGCTGACTTTGTTCACATAATTTAACAGTGAGCACTGACTTCTCACCTCTCTGTTCTAGGAAACCAGATGAGGTTCCATTTTGCAGTATGGCCTGGGGTGCTGGACAGTTGTATTGAAATGTAGTGTATTGAAATTGGTTGACTGTGCTCTTCCTTTCTGCTTCCTTCTTTCCAAAAGGACTAGAGCCCTGCAGTGCTGGCTGAATAGTGTGTATACATTGTAGATATGAGTTTTGATGGTACAAATCTGGGATGCTCTAGGACTTGACCTGGCCCAGCTGCAATGTGTGCAATAGCATACACATTGTACATTATTCTGCGGGCTGGCAGGCAGCTGGTACAGAGCAAAGCACTTTCCCTGTCCAGGTTCAGGGAACTATGAAGGCCTCATCTCCTGCTTCTCTCCTGTTCCTTCCATAAACAATGGAGAAGAACGTAAATTAATAAACTTAACAATAACAAGTCACTGGGACCAGATGGCTTTCACCCAAGAGTTCTGAAAGAACTCAAATATGAAATTGAGGAACTATTAACTGTGGCTTCTATCCAGTCCTATAAATCAGTTTCTCCACCTAAGGACCGGAAGATAGCTAACATGATGGCAAAACTTAAAAAGGGCTGTAGAGGTGATCCTGGCAATTACAGAACGGTAAGTCTAACACCAGTACTGGGCAACTTCGTTGAAACTAGAGTAAAGAATAAAATTGTCAGACACATAGATGAACATAATTTGTTGGGGAAAAGTCAACATGGTTTCAGTAAACAAAAATCATGCTTTACTAATCTAATAGAGTTATTTGAGGAGGGCAACAAATGTGGACAAGAGGGATCCAGTGGATATAGTGTACTTGCATTTCCAGAAAGTCTTTGACAAGGTATCTTACCAAAGGCTCTTAAATAAAGTAAGTTGTCCTAGGATAAGAGGGAAGGTGCTTTCATGGACTGATAACTGGTTAAAAGACAGGAAACAAAAGGTAGGTATAAAAGGTAAGTTTTCAGAATGAAGAGAGGTAACTAGTAGGGTCCCCCAAGGGTCTGTACTGAAACCTATTCAACCTGTTTATAAATTATCTGGAGAAAGGGGTAAACAGTGAGGTGGCAAAATTTTCAGATGACACTAAACTGCTCAAGATAGTTAAGACCAAAGCAGACTGTGAAGAACTTCAAAAAGATCTCCTCAAACTGAGTGGGCAACAAAATGGCAAATGAAATTTAATGTTGATAAATGTAAAGTAATGCACATTGAAAAAAATAATCCAAACAATACATACAATATGATGGGGGATATGATAGAGGTCTATAAAATCATGACAGGTGTGGAAAAAGTGAATCAGGAAAAGTTATTTACTTGTTCCCATAACATAAGAACTATGGTTAACCAAATGAAATTAATAAGTAGCAGGTTTAAAACAAACAAAAGGAAGTTTTTCTTCACACAGCACACAAGTCAGCCTGTGGAACTCCTTGACAGAGGATGTTGTGAACACCAGGACTTTAAGAGTACATCTACACTGTGGAGCTATTTCAGATGCCAGAAGTATCCAAATATAGCTACCCCTCGGTTTTTGAACACGCCTACAATTTCAAGATAGGTCTCGAAATAGCGGACATGCTATTTCAACATCCCTGTAGCCCTTGTTGCACGAGAGTTAAGGGATATCTCAAAATAGCATGTTACTTTGAAATTTGGCATTGTGTAGACACGCCAAATTTCAAAATAAGCTATTTCAAAATTCAATTGAAATAAGGTACGCAATTTGTGTAGCACAAATTGCGTATCTTATTTCAAGTTTAGGGTGCTGTGTGGATGCACCCTCACAGGATTCCAAATAGAATTAGATAAATTCAGGGAGGTTAGGTCCATCAGTGACTATTAGCCAGGATGGGTAGGAATGGTATCCCTAGATGCTGTTTGTCAGAGGCTAGAAATGGATGACCAGAGACTTGATGATTCCCTGTCCTGTTCACACTCTCTGGGGCACCTGGCATTGGCCACTGTTGGCAGACAGGATACTGGGCTAAATGGACCTTTGGTCGGACCCAGTATGGCCTTTGTGTTCTTAATATCCAACTTGGACCTCCCCTACTGTAACTTGAGACCATTGCTTCTCATTCTGTCATCTGTCACCACTGAGAACAGCCTCTCTCCATCCTCTTTGGAACCCCCTCCAGGTAGTTGAAGGCTACTATCAAATCCCCCCTCAGTCGTCTTTTCTGCAGACTAAATAAGTCCAAATCCCTCAGCCTCTCCTAGTAAGTCATGTGCTCTAGCCCCCAATCACTTTTGTTGCCCTCTGCTGGACTTTCTCCAATGCGTTCACATCCTTTCTGTAATGGGGGCCCAGAACTGGACACAATACTCCATATGTGGCCTCACCAGTGCAGAACAAAGAGGAATAATCACTTCTCTAGATCTGCTGGCAATGCTCCTCCTAATGCACCCTAATATGCCATTAGCCCTCTTGGCTACAAGGGCACACTGTTGACTCACGTCCAGCTACTCATCTACTCTAATCCCCAGGTCTTTTTTCTGCAGAACTGCTGCTTAGCCAGTCAGTCCCCAGCCTGTAACAATGCCTGGGATTCTTCTGTCCCAAGTTTAGGACCCTGCACTCACTTGTCCTTGTTGAACCTCATCTGATTTCTTTTGGCCCAATCCTCCAATTTGTCTCTCCTGCAGGTTCAGGGCACTCCTTCACCTGGGGCTGCCCTGCACCTCCTCTCCTGCAGGCTCGGGGCACCCCTCCCCCTGGGGCTCGCCTCACCCTCTCTCCTGCAGGCTCGGGACACCCCTCCCCTGGGGCTCCCCTCCCTCCGCTTCCCTCTCCCA